AAAGGTGTGGCTCTTCATTATTCTCCTATTTATGGGACATTTCGCACTTTGGTGTTGACATGGCAAGTATGTACATACTTGTGTCGAATTATAGACCAGCTGTGCTGCTGCACGCCACTCGAATTGTTTGAACATCACCAAAGGCTCATCGATTGCAGAAAGTCATTGTGCAAGACTTTTTTCACAGGTGGAGGATAATATGTATATAAGTAAATATAATAGGAGAAGGAGAGGTGTCGCATTGCACATGAATCTACCTTAAAATCGGCCGGTGCTCGAAGAGTTCAAGTTTCTTAGTCAATTAATTAACCTACACAGTTATGCTATATGTTTCGTTAATGGTCTGTATTCATGGCCTTTTCCTTCCTATTCTGATCATACTGGGTGAGATCGAAGCAGTTGCAACAATCGTGTCACTATGTGCAACACCTTCAATATGATGACGCTGTTCAAGGTTAACAGTGCATACTGTGGAAAATACTCTATACAACGACACTAACTCGGGACAACTGCAATTGCTGGTTTTCGATTTGGGTAGACAAGCTCTCACCGAATTTGAGAGCCTGTAAGAATGTGGAGCACACTCGTGAAACTGTAGCCATGATCTCAGTTTGCTTTGCAAGTGCAAGAATCGGTTGACTTGTCAAGATTTCTTGGAGTTCTAGTTGTAACATATTTTTGAACGTTCCTCCTTTCATGAAAATTTTGCCTGTTTTTTAGGTGATCGGAGATTGGACAACGCCAGCGATTAGTCGAACGTTCTGGTTGAAGCACGTTTGCACAAATCAAATCTATTGAGAGGGTTCCTCCTAAACTAATCGCACTTGCATTGTGTTTTCTTGTTGTACGGGAAGAGCTGGAAAGTCCCAAAATTCAAATAGGGCGTGCCGCGACAGCTCACCATTTTGAAGGGTCGTTCGCCGCGTTCTAGCTTGTTTCATGCCATGAAAACGACCTGACTTTTTGATCATTTGCGACGCACGACAAAGAACGGATTCTTTGCTACAGAATACGAACCTTTGGTGAAGTGATCGACCGCGATCAGGCTCTACAAACTTTGCAAAAGTGAAACTTCACTGAAGGAAGGTTGAGGTGACTTTCATAAGGTCAGCGGCTGGTCTAGCTTTTCGTAACCAGGTGGATCTGTTAATGTGGAAAAAGTACTCCTGATAATGTGTCAAACTACTCCTAGAACTCTGGCACATATGCTCGAAATTCCTCATTATAAAGGAACCGGCTCGTCCCTGACAGGTAGCTCGGACGCACATTCCACAACCAACCCTGCAGAAGTTGGACAAGATTGGCTACGAATTAGTCCTGCGAACATCCTACTCGGTAGACCTTTTGCCTATAATTTGTCACTTTCTCGACTACCTGGATAGCTTCTCCAAAGAGTTATGCTTCAAAAACCAACATGATGCGGAAACGACCTCCGCCGGGTTCATCGTCTCTAGAGCTCCAGTATTCTGCACTACCGGGCTGATTCAACGCAGCTATTATTGGCAGAGGTTTGTGGATTCTAACAGTCTTTACTCCAATCAAAAAGGTTTCGAATGAGCCGAGATACAGGCATTTGACCTAATAATATCTCGTTTTTCGTATCAAC